GTACTTGTTATTAATATATAACAATAAGACATTTTGTTCCCTACCAAAATAAAATAAACCGTTTTCATAAATAAACAGTTCAATTGTGCATTCAAACATATTTTCAGAAATAATACCGTAATTTTTTTTTGTTAGTTTTGTATCATAGTAAATGTACCTCTACATTTATCGCTATAATTTAGCACAACAAATTTGCTATTATCACAGAAGTAAAAAAAAAATTAATATTACTATCCCGATTATTTCGAGCGAAAAAGAATCCAGTTTTGCAAACATTTAACTTGATTGTCCGAATTTCTTATCTTGACTGAACATTGATAGTTTTTCGCCCTCTTCGGATTCAAATTTGCTATAACTTGGCTGTTTTCTTCTTTTTAGTCTTACACTTATTTGGCAGTGGCGTACAGTGGCGTCACGGGGTTTGTAGGGCCCTGGCGGTGACTGTTATTAGGGGCCCTAATATTCGAGAGCAGAGCGAGTTTGAGTTCTCAAAGCGAACAAGCAGACGCTCAAGGCCAGGGGGCCGCGAAAGGCCCCGTTCGGTCCAGGGGGTGGAGGCCCCTGGTGGGGGTCCAAGGGGGCTTCGCCCTGTCGCGCTCATGGCTTGTGGCATTTATGAACTGTTAACTGTGTTGTCAGAGAACATAAAATAATTATGGTCCATGACTGTTGAAATATTTCACACAATTTTATGATGACAAAACCAACATACATGGGCTAACTTTCGGAACTGGTATAGGCCTATGTACTCTATGTAGGTGTAAATAACTGAGAGACTATCTTAGTGAGAAATATATACAATGCAAAGAAGAAAATCACAAAATACAAAATTTGTCATTGTGAACTATGCATTTAACCGACCTTCTCTTCGTGCCTTTTTATTTCAATTGAGATTACGGTCAATTCATCGAGCCTGTTTTTTTGACAGCGATATCCTTATGATGATGCCAGGCCTATTTTCAATGTTTAAAACTGTCGGGGCCGCATTGAATGAAACTAAGGTTTATATTATATTTAAAAAAAAAACAAAACTAAAATGTCGGGCCCCTCGTTCCAAAAAATAAAAAACAAAAACAAAACAAAAACAAAAAACAAAACCAAAAAGACAAAACAAAAATTATATATATATAAAAAAACAATTCGCTCTTGTTATAGGTCACACTAAACGCCTCCGCTCTAACTGGCATCCGTTCGAATTAGCATTCGCTCGAAGTACGGTATCGTCACTTCGTATTGACTGACATTCAATAATCATAATTATTTTATACAAAAATATAAATATATTGTCATGTGGCAGGATTGCTCAAAAGTAGAAGATAGGTCTAATGTGGAGAGGGGCTTTCCTCATGACAACGACAAATAATATCAAAGTAGCATCCAAACGATTATTCTATATACACCAATTCAGATATTATATAAACATTTAAATAGAGTATTTTTTAAAATAAAAAATGAATACAGTCATCATATCAAACACTTTAAAATACATTTAAAGTGACAATAGACCTAATAAAAAGATAAGTAGATACAATATATAAAAATATTTATTATAATTAAAGTAAGCCATGCAGCTGTGCGTTGAGTGCACGCCTGAAAAAATTCCTGCTTGTTCCAGTGGGAAGGTACTAGTAGAAACGTACCAGTAGATACGTACCAGTGGGTACGTACCAAGTAGATACGTAGGCCTAGTAGTTATGCACCAGCAGTGAATACGTACCGGTAGATAAGTATTAGTTAAAGTCGGGCTCCGGAGGGGAAAACATTATATGTTGTAGCACTGAAAACTGGGGGGAAAATGGTGTTAAAAAGGGCGGTTACGCCCCTTCCCCCCAGTTTTTAAATATTCAAAAATCTGTATCTCATTCACCGTTTCCCAGTTTTTCGTCACACAACCTTTTTCTGTCTTAGAAAAATCATTGCTACAACATATAAAATTGTTTCCCTCCGGAGCCTGACTTTAAAGTAACTGATATTGAATGAGTTTTGAGTTTTGAAAGGCAATTTTTGGTCGAAGAACCACAGAAACAAAATTGACAGAATTCATTCCAACTGTACAAATCTAGTTGCGTGTCATCCAGTGTTACCAGGCATAGCCTGAAAGAACAGCACACACGGCCTCCACTTATTAATTCTTTTGTGACTGAATGAATATGTATTTTCTATTGAACCAGATAAAAATGCATACTCAAATGATTCATGTGTAGGGTCTAAACACCTTTCAGCGTGGAACCCATATTTTTGTGACAACAGAGTACCCGCATGTAAGCCATTCGAAATTCAGGAATCCGCCACCAGTAAATAAACATGTTCGCTGCTGAATTCAATGGGATAAGCGTCGCAAAAATTCTGCCAGCCATTAATAGTCCTAATGAAAATGGGCTTAAGTAATATTGTAGTACAAATACACCATACGGAATGTAGCATATGATGAATATTCCAGCAACCAATGTGAATGTCTTTATCATTTGAACATTTTGATTTCTTTTCTTTCTCTGGAATATATTATTGGCTAATTGTTTAATCTTTGTCTCATGTCGCCTCACAGCTAAAATAATCACAAGATATACGATAAATGTTAAAACTGGTGCGCATAGCATTACACAATCACGAACAACCCATATGCCATTATCCATGTTTGTAATTGGAAATATAATAGCTAAACTTATGGTTACAAACCAATCTATGACTATTATAATGGTCAATCGCTTTTTTGTAACGTACCGACTATGCTGAAATGGAGCAATAATAGCAAAACAACGTTCTGTTGCTATCATTATAATTGTGAGTGAAGATGAAGTAAGTAGCATACTCGCTATAATGCCCAAATTACTTGAATATATTTTTTGCCATTGGCGTATCAATAGAATTACATAGGAATAAACTGTTATACCCCCTATTATAGCATCCTTCATGGCGAGGCTTATTATTTGGTAATTACTGAATTTTCCACGTATTTCTTCCATAGCTAATGCAATAATGACTGTGAAAACATTGCCTAGAAAAGCAACACTTCCGAAAACAATCCCAATGACATATATTACAAACTCCCAAGACGCAAGTAGATCTGAAAATAGAAAAATATATAGTTCAAGATGATTATATATGATTAATGTATTTTAGAATTTTAGGAAAAATGCATATAACATTTAACAGATTTAAGATGAAGGTGTGGTCTAATGCTTAAAAAAAAAAGGTTTGACTGTATGTTATGTGCAAATTAAATGTCAAACCAACAAAAAGTTTCAACTAAAGAAATATTCTTCAGTTGTTTTTCCATTGTTGAAATTTCATAAATATTATGATTATTTTACCTGCACTACTTATGTCTGAATATGAATACGTCCATGAAACATTGAAATTTTCACCAAAGATATCAGTTGGGTCTTGCATTTCCATTCTTCAGCTATTTTACAAAATCAAAATATACCTGTGATAATTTATCAATTTTGTGATGATGACAATGGTATGATAGTTCTGTCAGTACAACACAAAATATTGTATTTTTTTTTATACACCTATTTTTTTTCTTCTGATGCACAATAACACAAACGTCGTATATATTCATTATATAACATTTTTTATTTATCATGAAAGTTACTTATAATAATAATAATAATAATAATAATAATAATAATAATAATAATACTAATAATAATAATAATAATTATTATTATTATTAATATTGTCTAACGTATTATTATTATATCAGTTGAAACGATACCAGATTTGTAATGATACCGAATTTGTAATGATACCGGAATTGTATTGAGATACCTGGGGTGTTACAGAGTGAAAATCGGGACTTGCGTGAAATATAATGGAATAAGAGAAGTAAAGGGGATTGTAATGGTTCGACAGCAAGTTTACATAGTTAAACTTTAGTGGCAATTATTATGGCTAGTGTGGTGCATATAAACTCAATTTATTTATTTATTATTATTATTATTATTTTAGTTAAGTGTAGTAGTTAAGGCCAAATAAATCTTGTAAAACCGATTGATTTGGTTATTAGAATTAATAGTACCTGGAATACGTTGTTGTTTGCTTTCTTCTACGAGTCTGATTTATCCTGTTTACAAGCATCGTGAAATTTTTATAATAATAATAATAATAATAATAATAATAATAGATTATTATTATTATTATTATTATTATTATTATTATTATCATCATCATCATCATCATCATTTTTATTGAAAATGATTTATTGCTTATCACAGATGTCACCGAAAGATAAATTATTTCAAAATTGAAGTCTGCTAAATAATCCCCCATAATTTATTCCAATTAAAGTGAGACACATTTAGTTACAGTACAGGTAATTCAATATGACTTAGCCTACAATAGGACAATAGGACTTTATGTTAATAAACCAAAGTTATGTCCTTAAACTAACAATAGACGTGAACATTTGAAAGTTTGTGTTAGAATAAAATGAAATGTAAAATGCTTTACCAAGGATGTTGCCGGCCTGTTGCCACTCGGCCTTTTGCCACCCGGCCTTTTGCCACCTTAGGCCCGTTGCCACCTGGAATTTAGCCACCCGGCCATTTGCCACTCTAGGCCCGTTGCCACCCGGCCTTTTGCCACCTAGGCCCGTTGCCGCCGGCCTTTTGCCACCCGGCCCGTTGCCACCATTGGCCCTTTGCCAAACAGAACGTTGCCACCCGGTGATCTATTGCCACCGTAGTCCAGTTGCCACCCGGCCCGTTGCCAGCCATAGTTGTATAGTAGGCCTATGCATTGTGTTCGCAGAAATTTTACTCTCGCCATTTTTGCCAAACTATATGTGTACTGAATGATGAATGGATTATTTGGCAGATTGTAAACAACGACAATTCGTTGCGGTTAACCACCATAAAAGGCACACGTGTAAAGTACCTTCCTGATTAGTGTTCAATCTTTATGTATGTATTCAGACGTACATATGTATATGTTTTCTGAGTATGTACTGTTTTTAGTTAGTGTGTATGTGTGTATGTTTTTTTTTTTACATTTTTGTGAAGGCAGAACATCATGAATTAAAATTCTTGTAGTGTTGTAAATTAAACATGTGTTTTTTATTTGATTTAAATTGACTTAATAGTGTGGATATATTAAGGAACATTGATAGAGTGACAATTATGAAAATACATCTATACACCTCTCACAATGTGTTGTTTTTATGATATTAAGCCAAATGTATGATCATTATTATATAGCTCTGGTATACCAATAGAAGAAACATGGGTGGGGGAAATATCCAACCGACCAATTGAAGGCCACGCAAATTAGGCTTGAAGACCCTATAATCTGAACAATAGATTGTCACGGTATAAACAATCAGGAAGATTAGTTTGCTCAGATCGTTAATGTTACTGAGCGCATATCGTCTGTAGTTTACCGCTAACGAGAAGAGCTTTATCCAAAGTTTATCATTGACGGTTATTTCTCTTGAGAATATATATATGCTTGTAATAAATTGTCCGCTTAAAAATAGCAAATAAATTCCATAAAGTTCATTATACACACATAACATAGGCTTGTGGTTATACTACATAAATAACTATTATTATCATAAATGTGCTGTTTTTTAATTGTAAAAGCACAAGCTATTTCTTTCTATTTTAGAATAAGAATATACTTTAAAATAAAATATAAAAATAAACTAGACACTGCAGTATTTCTCTCTTTATGTGGATTTATAACAATGTTTATTTCTGCATTTTCTCCTGGTGGTAAGAAGGCGCATTGACGATTGTTTGAAATAAAATACAGTAAACTAATAATTAAATATTGAACTTGAAAGTAAATTTAATCAAGAAAACATTCTGCTACAGTAGGCCTACTAGTACAAATCTGTGTAAAAAACCCACCAAAATAATATAAATATTCGACATTCCCAAGGGTGGCAAAAGGCCGGGTGACAACGGGCCTGGGTGGGAACGGGCCTAGGGTGGCAACGGGCCGTGTGGCAACGGGCTGGGTGGCAAAAGGCCGGGTTGAA